TATGTTGTGTTTTTGTCATTTTTTTATTAGTTGTTTAATGTATTTGTAATTTGTATGTAGAGTTCATTTCAGTTTTGGTTATTTTAGTACATAAATTAATGTTAAAAAAAAATGTATTTCAAGTAACAGAAATGTTTTTTTTAATGGTTTTAGTTTTAGTGTTAACTATAGTAACCCGGGTTTGTATAGCTTGAAAACACTAAATAATGATCTTTGTGTACCATTTTAATTAAAGGGTGGATCACACAAAATACTTGACTTTAAAATTAAAATAATACATTTTATAATAATAATAAAAAAGCCTATGTTATGTTCAGAGAAGGAAGATTTTTGTATTTGTAAAATGTTTACGTCAATTAAGCACATTTAAGTTCCCATTAGAATCACCAGTGAAATGTTCAAAAATTAAAAGTAAATTAATTAAATGTTCACCGGCCACTTTTATTTTCAGCCCCTATTATTGAGGAGCTTCTATAAAGCAGAAATGAATCTTTCATAGACTATATTTTTAGTGTTCTACAGAAGCTTTTTTCTCGTAATTCTGACTTTATATCTCACAACTTTATATCTTGCAATTCTGACTTTATATCACGCAATTCTTTGTATCACGCAATTCTGACTTTATATCTCGTATTTCTGACTTTATATCACGCAATTCTGACTTTATCTCGCAATTCTTTATATCTCGCAATTCTGACTTTATATCTCGCAATTCTGACTTTAAATCTCGCAATTCTGACTTTAAATCTCGCAATTCTGACTTTAAATCTCGCAATTCTGACTTTATATCTCGCAATTCTTTATATCTCGCAATTCTGACTTTATATCTAGCAATTCTGAATTTAAATCTCGCAATTCTGACTTTAAATCTCGCAATTCTTTATATCTCGCAATTCTTTATATCTCGCAATTCTTTAAATCTCGCAATTCTTTATATCTCGCAATTCTGACTTTATATCTCGCAATTCTGACTTTATATCTCGCAATTCTGAATTTAAATCTCGCAATTCTGACTTTATATCACGCAATTCTGACATTATCTCGCAATTCTGACTTTATATCTCGCAATTCTGACTTTAAATCTCGCAATTCTGAATTTATATCTCGCAATTCTGACTTTATATCACGCAATTCTGACATTATCTCGCAATTCTGACTTTATATCTCGCAATTCTGACTTTATATCTCGCAATTCTATCTCGCAATTCTGACTTTTTATCTCGCAATTCTGACTTTATATCACGCAATTCTGACTTTATATCACGCAATTCTGACATTATCTCGCAATTCTTTGTATCGCGCAATTCTGACTTTATATCTCGTATTTCTGACTTTATCTCGCAATTCTTTATATCTCGCAATTCTGACTTTATATCTCACAATTCTGATTATATCTCGTAATTCTGACTTTATATCTCGCAATTCTGATTATATCTCGCAATTCTGACTTTAAATCTCGCAATTCTGACTTTATATCTCACAACTTTATATCTCGCAATTCTGACTTTATATAACGCAATTCTGACATTATCTCGCAATTCTGACTTTATATCTCGCAATTCTTTGTATCGCGCAACTCTGACTTTATATCTCGCAATTCTGACTTTATATCTCGCAATTCTTTGTATCGCGCAACTCTGACTTTATATCTCGCAATTCTGACTTTATCTCGCAATTCTGATTATATCTCGCAAATCTGATTATATCTCGCAATTCTGATTATATCTCGCAATTCTGATTATATCTCGCAATTATGACTTTAAATCTCGCAATTCTGAATTTAAATCTCGCAATTCTGACTTTAAATCTCGCAATTCTGACTTTCTATCACGCAATTCTGACTTTATATCTCGCAATTCTGACTTTATATCACGCAATTCTGACATTATCTCGCAATTCTGACTTTATATCTCGCAATTCTGACTTTATATGTCGCAATTCTGACTTTATCTCGCAATTCTGACTTTATATCTCGTAATTCTGACTTTATATCTCGTAATTCTGACTTTATATCTCGCAATTCTTTATATCTCGCAATTCTTTATCTCGCAATTCTGACTTTATATCGCAATTCTGAGATAAAAAGTCACAAAAAATACTTCGCTTCATAATTAAAATAATACATTTGATAATAATCAACAAAAACCTATGTTAAGAGAAGGAAGATTTTTGTAATTCGTCAATTAAGCACATTTAAGTTCCCATTAGAATCACCACTGAAATGTTCAAAAATTAAAAGTAAATAAATTTTTCTCAGCCCTATTTATGAGGAGCTTCTATAAAATTATTTGTCATTGATTCAGTCTAGATTTTGCACTCAGAAACTTGAATATATGAAAATCTAAAGCAAGCAATCGAACTAAAAGTGATAATACCTAAAGATTGTAAGACAATATTCTTCAAAAGCTTCTGTAGTGGTAAAATAATATAGACAAAGCCAATTCAAACGCACACACTCAACAGAAAACAACGAACAACGTTCTTCTAAGATGAAAATATAAAACACGTTTTCTTTATTTCCTGTATATAGACATATACCACTTGAGATTTGGAGAAAAGCACATATGAAGGCTATTTTATGATGATCTCATCAGACAGCTGAATGCAGAGACAGAAAAGTTCTCAATTACAAATAGTAAAAAAAAAAAAAAATACATTAGAAATTAAATTCTAAAAGATTTCTAACGCAGTTACAGAAGTCTGTCAAATGCCAACTGTCTGCAAGTGGCTAATAACGGTTTTCATCTGTACACAAGAAAATTTGTACAAAATAAGAGATCTACCATTCAATAATAGATGGATCATAACAGTACATAATATGTACAATATCAGATGAAGCCATTTAGTAGAGGGACGCGTACTAAAGGACACTTTGCAGTTGTATTTTTCTCTCATGAAATGAAACGGAAAGTGAAATTCACCACAATAAAAGCTTCCAGTTATGCTATCGACACCGGAGGAGAAATTAATCTTTCATAGACTATGTTTTTAGTTTTCTATGAAAGCTTGTTTCCGACACAGAATAAAATTTTAAAAGATAATTGCGACTTTTTATCTCAGAACTGCGTGGTATAAACTAGAAATTCTGACTTTTTATATCTTTTTATATCTGACTTTTTATATTTTGCAATTCTGGCTTTATAACATGCAATTGCGACTTTACATCAAGCAATTCTCCCAATTGCGAGTTATAAAGTCAGAATTGCGAGATATAAACTCAAAATTGCGAGAAATAAACATGCAATTCTGAGAAAAAAAGTCAGAATTGCGAGAAATAAACTCGCAATTCAAATTTTTCCTCAGAATTGCATGTTTATAACTCTCAATTGCAACTTTATATCATGCAATTGTGAGATAAAAAGTCGCAATTACCTTTTTTATTTTTTATTCTGTGGCGGAAAACAAGCTTCAATAGTTTTCAGCACTGCAGCCAAAAGATAAGAGGAAGGAATTAAAATTTGCACATTCAAATCGAACATCAACAAGCTCACGAGAGGGCCGAGAATTAAAAACCCTGCAAGCGTCTTAAAATCACGTGACGTACATACGGGGAAAAAAAACGCAGACAGAAAATTGCACCGTAGCTCCAACCAGGCCAAACCAAGTGGAAGTTCAAACAATGGTTCAGAGAGGATCCGTAAAGTCGTTCAAGTTTATCAGGAAAAGTTTTCTGACTTTTGTTGGGCAAAATGCATTTGTGTGAAGCCAAAGTAGCAAATTTCAGGCTAAAAAAAATAATAAAAGGTTTCCTTTATCTAAAAAGGCACTATGCAAATGAAGGCTTGGTCGAACAAAACGCACAGAAAACGTTAACGTTTAATATTGCCTGTTAAAAAGCGAAGATTGGAGGAAGAGATTAACCAACGTAAGGCCGTTCACCATTGTTTGAACAACCAAAATCTCCCTGGACGAACTTATTGCCAAGTTTCTGGACAAAATTAAAAAAACGGAAGGAGCGAGTTCTCTTCATTGCCAAAGAACCGTCACACGTTAAAAGACGGAGAAAGAAAGCGAGACAAAAGCAGCGCTGCTCTTCTCGGCCTCTGAACAACCTGAGAATCGTTTGCTCGCTCCGAATGCAGTCGCGGTTCAAGTGCTCTTGCCTGCTTTTCCAGTCGGCGCAGGCACGTAACAGCTCAAAAGAAGAGACCAACATACGAACGAACGTACATACGAACAAACGTACATACGAACGAACGTACGTACGAACGAACAAACGTACATACGAATACGAACGTACATACGAACGAACGCATGTACAAACGAACGCATGTACGAACGAACGCATGTACAAACGAACGGATGTACAAACGAACGCAGGTACAAACGAACGTATGTACAAACGAATGTATGTACAAACGAACGTATGTACAAACGTACGAACGAACGAACAAACGTACATACGAACGAACGTATGTACGAACGAACGAACAAACGTACATATGAACACGAACGTACATACGAACGAACGTATGTACAAACGAACGTACGAACGAACGAACGTACGTACGTACGAACGCACGTATGCACGAACGCATGTACAAACGAACGAACGTACGAACGAACGAACAAACGTACATACGAATGAACGTATGTACGAACGAACGAACAAACGTACATATGAACACGAACGTACATACGAACGAACGTATGTACAAACGAACGCATGTCCAAATGAACGCATGTACAAACGAACGCATGTACAAACGAACGTATGTACAAACGAACGAACGAACGAACGAACGAACGAACGTACGAACGTACGTACGAACGCACGTATGTACGAACGCATGTACGAACGCATGTACAAACGAACGAACATACGAATGAGCGTATGTATGTACGAACGACTGTATAAACGAACGAACGTACGAACGAAGGAACGTACATACGAACGCACGTACATACGAATGAACGCATGTATGTACGAACGAATGCATGTACAAACGAACGAACGTACGTACATACGAACGAACATTCATACGAACGAACGTACGTACGAACGAACGAACATGCGAACAAACGAACGAACATACGAACGAAGGAAAGCAGAAGCAGAAAGAGGCAGGACTGGAGAGGGTCTGGATGGAGGACGGTCTCCGGTGCGATGCTTCTGGAGGGCAGATCCGGCTGTGTGTGTGTGTGAGAGAGAGAGTGTGTGTGTGTGAGTGTGTCACACCGGGGCCACACCGTCCTGCGCGCTGCCGTCGGGTCGAGACTGGGTTTGGTTCTGGTCCTCTAGTGGGGGTCCTGGGGGCCGATCATGTCCTCTGCGCGCCGGTGCGTCTCTAAGGCCTTCATCATGCAGGAGTCCTGCGGGAGCTCAGACTTGCGTCGCATCAGGGGCCGTTCCTTACGCTGGTCTCGCTGGAGCTGAGCACACACACACACACACACACACACACACACACACACACACGTCAGTCTGAGCTGCTTTCAGTCAACCAAACTGTGTTTCCAATTGACAAAAGCAATGATATACAGATTGCTTCAACAGGAAAATCAGCCAAGCAAACTTCAGCATATATATGAGAAATTCTATATAGTGTCATTATTCAGTTCAGTGGAAGTTTTTGTTTTCATCCAATAGTGTCAGTGCAGTCAAGTCAATAATGAAATATTACTGAATATTAGGCATGGTTCACCCAAAAATTAAAATTCTGTCTCATTTACTCACCCTCAAGTTATTCCAAACCTCGGGGTGAGTGATATACCGGCCGACAAAATTTGCACTAAAGTACAATTTTGGGCTAGGGGAGGGCAATATTGACAAAAAAATTATATCTCGACATTTTCTGGGATTTTTATCGATAATGAAATTAACCGGTCGTGGACAGAGACTCCCAAAGCTTGTGATATTGTTCATATTCTGTGCGGTTCAGTTCACAGCAGAGACAGAAAAAATCTTTTCCAATAAGATTAAATAGATTTTTTACCTTTTATGGGCATTTTTTTCCTTTATAAAGCGATTTTTTTAACCTAATTATGTATGCAATATTTTTTGGGGTCAAATTCTAACATTTAATCAATAAGTTCTATTAAAATAATAAGACACAATGGGGCTGTTACCAATCAAATGAAATCAGTATCAACAAAATTGACACAGAAGCTGCAAATGAAGATGCTTTTAACCTCCAGTTACACATGCAGAAATAATGTTCTGATGTTTTAAACAGAAAACGTTGAAAATTGATAATCAAAATGATTTAAAAAAAAAATTAAATAAACTTTAAATGTGAAATTAAAAGCACCAGTAGGTGGCAGCAAGTCTGTTAATGAGTGAGTCATTCAGCCGATTCATTAAAGTTGTGGTATAATGCCCTTCACAAGATGTAAAATAAGTCTCTGATGTCCCCAGAGTGTGTGTGTGTGTGAAGTTTTAGCTCAAAATACCCCACAGATATTTATATATAGCATTTTAAAATGGTCACTTTTTGAGGGTGAGCAAAAACGCACTGTTCTTGTGTCTGTCCCTTTAAATGCAAATGAGCCGCTGCTCCCGGCGCAGGGGGCGGAGCTACAAGACAAACAACATTTCTGAATGGTTAGTTGATGAACATATGTAGCTTATGTGTCATTGATTAGCATATTCTGTCATGATAATCTAATAATCGTGTTGTGGGGGCGGGGTTTATGCAAATCTTAGGGTTTGTGATGTCACTAACCCGGGAGGAAGCTCGTGTAGTTCTTCCAGCCGTTTGTTGTAGTCCTTAAAAAGTGATTTCTGTAAAAGCAAATCTCTCTCTTTGCTCTGAGCTTTGAGCGTTGTAACTTTGCAGATGTTGTTTACGCTCAAACAGCAACATTACACACTCACTACAGCTAGACAAGTGACATCATAATCAACCACCCCTTAAAAACGGCCGATGCATGTTATTGGTAAAAAATGTTCTGGCTTGTTTACGAAAGCAGAAGTAATTTCAGGAGCAGAGATAAAAATAAAAATAAAAGATTATGGAAATTTATATTCATATGTTATTTTTCTGTTGATCACTGTGAAGCTGCTTTGAAGCGATCTGTATTTTATAAAGCGCTGTAGAAATAAACCTGACTTGACTCCAGAATGAATCGCTCACATGTAAATAGTCAATTTGATTTCATGTTGTTGACTTTAGATTGGAATATGAAATTCTCCACAAACTTATTCGTGTTCATCATTAAACATTATTTACCAAGTAATGTAATCCTTCAGAATTAGGCGAGGATGTCCACTGCCACTCAACAAGATTTTTCTTTGAAAGAAATTAACACTTTTACTCATCAAGGCCACATTAAATTGATCAAAAGTGACAGTAAAACAGAAGAAAAGATTATATTTCAGATAAATGCTGTTCTTTTGAACTTTATATTCATCAAAGAATCCTGAGAAATAAAATGTATTGTTTCTTGAGCATCAGATCCTCATATTAGAGTGATTTCTGAAGGATCATGTGACACTGAAGACTGGAGTAATGATGCTGAAAATACAGCTTTGATCACAGGAATAAATTACACTTTACTGTATATTCACATAGAAAACAGATGATTTACATTACAATAATATTTCACTGTTTTTACTGTATTTTTGATCATAAACGCAGCCTTCTGTCAAACCCTGGGCGTTTACCGGAGTGGCTTCTTCTTCTACGGTCTTCTTTAGCATCATGACATCATCGATCATCGGCCCGTCCGTCTCCATATCCACCGGACTGCTGAGACTCGAGGAGTCGACGTACATGACGAACTAAAGCAGAAACACTCATTACTAAAACCTCATTAAAATCAATATATAATTAGGGCTGTCACTTTATGTTCGAAAATCGGTCGCACAATCGATCGGACAAACCAACACAAGCATCAAAAACGAAAATAGGGAATCGATTTTAACGGCTTTTTTTTTTTATACCCAAAAATGTGTGTTATGACAGATCAATACAGCACACAGAACATGTCGGATGCTGGAAAATAACAATGTCTTTTCTGTTCACCAAATGCTTTTTAATATTCGCTATTGCTTCAATGCAAGTGAACAAGCGCCGTTATTTGTCGCCTAGTGACGTGTGTGTGTGTGTGTGTGTGTGTGTTCAAGTAAGCCAGAAATGCACAGATTCTGCGATACGCTGTGTTTAATATATCATGAGGATCACGTGTTGCGTATTTGCGCTAAATCCGCGCAGATTTGTCTTACACGAACTTCCCCAGCAAAGTGAGTAAACACAGAAACGCCAGATTGGCTCGTGATTCGACAGCGTTTCCCGCCAAAGCTCATTTGTACGCGCATCTGGCGGGTCGAGGTGTTAATCTCAATCCCTGAATGTTGCGCTCCTGTTTGTCATTGAGCTGAAACTTCACGCCAATAAATCATCAGGAATATCGCTGACTTGTGCGTCTCAAGCGCCTCTTTACGCTCGTCCTAACGCCTGTTAGGTGGCCGTGGATTTGCCTGTATTTGGTGTTGGAAATGGAAACGTCTTTAGACATGGAAAATCGATTCAATGAACACTTATGTCTCAGAAATCGAACAGGATTTTTTCACAAAAATGACAGCCCTATATGAAGAGTTTGGTTCCAAAACGCAATAAATCCATTTAGATTAATTTGAGTAAAAATGTGTTTTCTTTACCAAGAAAGTGGAAAGATGAAAATCACTATTTTCTGTTTCAAACTTTCACATAGCATTTCTAGGTCATAATAACAAAAAAAATTAAAATCCAGGTTTTGATTTTCAAAGATTTATTATAAAAACGAATTATTTTTCCCCCTAAAATGCAATAAATCCTTTTTTTTTTTAAATCAAAATGCAATTAATCCATTGAATCAATATAAAAGTTTTTTTTTTTCATATTGAAACTGTTGAAAATACACAACAACGTAAGTTTATTAGTATAATATTTTTATTAAGAACTGTAAAGAAGATTGAAAACATTTGTCCTCCTCCCGAGTGCCTGATCTTCTTAATCTCCTCACGTAAATGATTCGATTTCGATGCCTTACGTTTCTCACCCACCGCAGAAACAACCACAGGTTCATCAATGCCCTCAAAATTATTCATTTTTTTGTTTGTTTGTTGATCGAAAAGTACAAATAAGATTAGAAAAACTAGGAAGCCGGGTGTATTTAAGGTGCTTCCGTTACTGTTTACATTGCGTGGAATGGTGCGTTGTGATTGGTTGAGAGTGGAATGGTGCGTTGTGATTGGTTGAGAGCGGATATATCGCGTTCTGCAGAGAAGGGAGACTGGTGTTTGTCGTGGTTTGGAAAGAAAGGGAGAAAACATGACAGAATAACACGGCGGATATCGCATTTTACTTTAAATTAAACATTGACTTTTCAATACCAATCAGATAAAAATGGCGTTTATCGCATTTTGGAACCAAACTCTTCATATGGAATTACAATTACAACCCTCATCCTTGACACGGATTTTTTTTTTGTTTACATTTTTTTTTAAAATTGTGTTCATCAGAGGGTCCAAGACACCAGGACTTTTGACGTATTTGAACCACGAATACACAAAAAAAAAAAAATGTTGGATTCGAGGAGTTTTGTGGTTGAAATCTAAAAAAGTAACACACCCTTCCCTCTCGGGTCAGTTTGACCCCCTTAGGAATGAATGGAATGTGAGGAATGCTTCAGTTCACATAGAAAAACATAAAAATGCTCAAAATGCAAACTAAAAATATTACCCAAAAAATTATTTCATAATGTGCACGTGTCTCTGAATGCACACTGAAGAGAACTGGCTTTAGGACCCAGAAGAACAGCTCCTCTGCTCCATATAGAGCTATAAGCCCATCTAGAGTTATGAAATATCATCTGTTATTATTAATTTTCTACAAGAGGTCAAATACACTCAATGTAAGATATTTAGAGCTGAATTAAAAGGTTTAGAAATGAAATAGTGAGTTATTTTGAATTTAAGTTGCAAGGAATGTGCTAAAATTACTAATTTACTCAAATCTAGTAATTTAAAGGTAAAAAAAAAAAAAAAGTTTTTCAAAATGCATAAAATAGTATCAAA